TCCAGGTTACAGCCTAGTGTTAGGTACCAGCTCGGGTCCTGGTTACAGCCTAGTGTTAGGTACCAGCTCGGGTCCGTGTTACAGTTTAGTGTTAGGTACCAGCTCGGGTCCGGGTTACAGTTTAGTGTTAGGTACCAGCTCGGGTCCAGGTTATATTTTATCATAATGATTATATTGTTATATACTTGGAAAGTTTCTTACTTGGGTTTTCCCTTTCCACAAAGCTATTGAGGATCCCTTCTTGTTTAATATTTAATATAGAGCATAATGTTATTGTTTTACTATAGTTAAGACTTAAGTACTTCGGAATCACGACACCTCTCAACTTTCACATTGCCTTCCTTATGACGCTAAAAACCGGTTTTCGATACTACCCGTGATGGGCGCATCACAGATAGCCCACTTGCATAGCTTTGTGCTTCACTACAAACAAACAATCTTCACTTCAGGAAAAGTTATCAGTCGTATCGGATAACATGGAGAAAGTAATGTTAAACTTTCATGTCTTTATTTATAAACTAATTTGTTGATGAAAAAAAAAACGTTTGTGTTCTTGAATACCTCGCAATCACTAATTTAAAAGTGATCAGCTAGTGAAAATTACCCACCGCTAACTCTTAGGCTACTCTTTACTGACACAAAAAGTGTGATTAATCGTCACTTTATAACCCTACCACGGCTCAAAAGGCGAGTATATTCGGTGATGGAATTCGAAATCGCGGACTGCAGAACGTAAGTCGAGTATCCTAACCACCAGTTTATGCCAAACCTTGTCTTGTCAGATAATTTATTTCAAATTATCAATAAGATAAACATGAATACAATAAATTACGTTAACAATGTCTGAGAAACAAGTAAAACAAATTTGTTAGTATAATTTCTGGGCATCCTGTAAATAAATACAGAGGTATTTCTTGAAATTGTAACGACACAAAAAGCTGCGGTACAATTTATAATTTAACATTTAAGTGGATAAAACTAGTCTTCACATATTTCTTGCCTCGACTGAGAAACAAACATGTTTTCATCGTATGTTTAATATTTACAGTTCAAGAAACAAGCACGTTTTCATCGTATGATTTAATATTTACAGTTTAAGAAACAAGCACGTTTTCATCGTATGATTTAATATTTACAGTTTAAGCTTTAGTCATGCTTCACATTTCTGGTAATCATGT